CGATTATTTCGAAAGCATATCAGTTAAAAACCTGTTACAGAAGTGTTAAGAACATTTTAACTGATAAAGCTCATATAATATCAGTTAAAACTATTACTTAAAAACCTTTTAACAAATTACTTTGTTTTTAACAGTTTAAACATGTTTTAGAGGCATTTGCAAAATCTTTTAAATGAAGAAACCTCATGCATCAGAGAGAAAAGAATGATTATACCTAAGTAAAGATGTAAACTCACTAATCACTCTACCCTTTTATCTAAGTGACCTTTGACTGCAACAGAATAGCCTTTGACTTCATTTTGACTTCATCAGCCTTTGACTTCATCAAAACAAATTTGTTTTAAATGATTCAATAAGATCTTCATCACTTTCAGCTAACCCATGTCAAATCTCACAAGGACACAATTATAGGAACATACTCATTATCACATATCATTCTCTCTAAAACAGTAAATAGTAGCAAATATAGGATGAATGAAAGAGTGCAACAAAAATAATTTGATGCAGAATAATAAAAATTAAAATCAAATTGCTATAGAATATTAACGACAATTAAAATTAAACAGAAATAGAATTTAAATAACTAAAATTTATTAAATTAAAATAAAGTGCTTTTAATTAAAAAGGCAGGAATAAAAAAATTGCTTTGAAATAAAATAGTGAAGTAATTAAATTTGAAATTTCGAAAGCGATAACTCTAAAACTAAATTGTGAATTCGAATTGAAAACGAGAGGAATTGAAAATGAAAATTATGCAATATTGGAATAAAAATTCTAAACAATTAAATAACATAAATTAAAATAGGCACTGAATAAATAGAATAACTAGAGCAAGATAAACTAAAAATTCAATAGAAATTGCAAAATTAAATAAAAGAGAACAAACCAAAAGTTCAGTAGCAGTAGATGAACTCGCCTAACTGAAAACTAAACTACAAACAGAGAGTAGGAAAAGAAACTGGGACGAGACAAAACAGTAATTCTCACCCCAGACACAGGAGATTATGATTGTGGGTTGTCGTAAGACCTCTATTTATAAGGGTTTGAATAAGAGAAATTAACCCTAAAATTAATTATAATAAAAAATCAAATATTCCTCAAATAAATAATTGCAAAATCTAATTGTTGTGCAGAGAAATTCTTGGGACTATTTTGGAGAAAATAGTCTGCTTCTTTCTTATTTTGAGTGATCCAACACTAATTTGCATTTAATTCTTGATTCCTGTTGGCCATTACTTCAGCTAAATTGGATTCCCGCACTAGTTAATTTGCTTGATTCAAAATTTCCATTTGTAACATTCTGCAAGTGGGTTGCAAAAGCAACCTTGGGCTTTCAAGAAGAGTGAAGCTTAATGACATCAATTTAGACATTTCTTTATATCAATTTGGTCCATCTCAAATTACTTCTCCTACAAAAGAAAAAGAAATATGCAATGTGGATGTATGCATGTATATTATTTATTATGCTAAAACTATGTAAAATGCAACAAATTAAGAAAAATTGAATTATGTTATGCTTTTAATGAAAACATGTTAAATGCATGGTTTATGAATAAAATAACTAGCTTAAAAAATGCTCTTCGATCAAGAAATAAAGAGTAAAATGACATACATAAATGGTTATTGGAAAGAGCCCAAAAATCAAAGAATCCTCGACAATCAACAAGCTGGATGACTATTGAAAAAGCCTAAAAACAAAGAATCTCCGGCAATCAACAAGCTGGATGGCTATTAGAAAAGCCCAAAATCAAAGAATCCCCAACAATTAACAAGCTGGATGACTATTGCAAAAGCAAAAAATCAAAGAATCTTCGGCACACCGGATGACTACACGGAAAAAATCAAAAACATTCCCAAGCATAACTACTCCCCATGGAGTCAGCGTGTGACCAAGATCAATAAGCCGCTATCACAACACTTTAGTTCGAGTCTTATAAAAGGGGGACTCAGACCAGATGGGGGTTTGTAATCATCAATCACAAGGTCGGCTACCGCATCGAAGGAGCATCCTAAGGACGAGTCTTACAAAAGGGGACTCAGACTAGATGAGGGTCTGTACTCATCAACCCCAGGGTCGGTTACCGTATCGAAAGAGCATCCTAAGGAAAAGTCTTACAAAAGAGGACTCAGACCAGATGGTGGTTTGTACTCATCAACCACAAGGTCGGCTACCGCATCGAAGGAGCATCCTGAGGATGAGTCTTGCAAAAGAGAACTCAGACCAAATAGGGGTCTGTACTCATCAACCACAGGTTCGGCTACCGCATCAAAGGAGCATCTTGAGGACGAGTCTTGCAAAAGAGGACTCAGACCAGATGGGGTCTATACTCATCAACCATAGGGTCGGCTACTGCATCGAAGGAGCATCCTAAGGACGAGTCTTGCAAAGGATGACTCAAACCAGATGGGGGTCTGTACTCATCAACCACAGGGTCGACTACCGCATCAAAGGAGCATGCTAAGGACGAGTCTTACAAAGGAGGACTCAGACCAGATGGGGGTCTATATTCATCAACCACAGGGTCGGCTACCGCATCAAAGGAGCATCTTGAGGATGAGTCTTACAAAAAGGGACTCAAACTAGATGGGGGTTCGTACTCATCAACCACAGGGTCAGCTACTGCATCAAAGGAGCACTTTGAGGATGAGTCTTGCAGAAGAGGACTCAGACCAGATGGGGGTTTGTACCCATCAACCACGGGGTCGGCTACCGCATCAAAGGAGCATCCTGAGGACGAGTCTTACAAAAAGGGACTCAAACTAGATGGGGGTTTGTACTCATCAACCACAGGGTCGGCTACCGCATCAAAAGATAATCCTAAGGACGAGTCTTACAAAAATGGGACTCAAACCAGGTGGGGGTTCGTACTCATCACCACATGGTCAAAGGGAACACCCTGTGGTCAACCTTGATGAAGACATTCCTATTCATCGTCCGGAGGGTCAGATAGTGTATCAAAAGAGCATCCGAAGGATGATCCGACAAGAGGGTTAACTTCTTCACCCGTCAACCGGTCTTACGGCACATTCGCCAACAACCGGTTAATCAGGTGAAGGGGGGACAACTGTAGACCCCAAATCTTGCCCGGCCTCACAATAAAGTTCAAAAATCCTTCGTTTTGAAGATGGACAAGGCTTCATAGGGCACCTAGTAAGGTTCACTAGGCTCCATCTAAGAAAAGGAGGGTTTTCTTAGAAAATAAAAAATAAAAATTTTGTCAGGAGACCCGGGATGGCCGTCCCACATTCCAGACGATCGTCCCACCCTCTTTGGTGACTTGGGACGGCCATTCCGACTGACAAAATCTGGGACGGTCGTCCTGGTCTCCTTGGTGAACGAGCCTATAAATAGGACGTCAGTCCTCACTGTTGTCCATACTCTTTCACAAATTCTCACACCTAGAGACGTTCCTAGACACTTCTAGGCACCGAGTAGTCTTTCTGATAGTCCATTTAGGCAAAAATCAGTTAAGGAAGTCTTATTTTGAGATATCCGACTCTCGGCAAGTTAAAACATTGGTGGCGACTCCATAGAACCCATTTTGCAAAAATATCACTTTTAAAGTTAGTCCAGTTATCGGACATCCTAAAAGTGATGACCAAATTATTTTACGAAAATACGAGATCGAACCATCGCGTCACGATCGCTCGCACATTTCGTTCTCCCTCGCAAGGGACGACGGTGACCGTCATCATTAAACGTAACTATCACAACGCGTCAATAAGATAGAGCCTTTGTAGCTAATCTTAAACAAAGCCATAAGATGAGTAGCTCATCTTAAACAAAAAAAAGTTAAGTAACTTTGATATGAGTTCTACACTAAAATTAAGTTGGTTTGTAACTATGCTCATTCAAGTTATATATTGGGTCAAATCCTAATCGAGATATGCAGTGGCGAATCTTGACCATTGATCTTGGAGGGGCCAAATAATATATTATTAATAAATAATAAATAAATATAAAATAAAGTAAGAAGATAAAAGGGTAAAATGATAAAATTGTAAATATATACTTAAATATATTAAATGATAATTAAGTTTGAGGGGGACAAAATCATAAATTATATGAGAGTTACAAAACTAAAGAGGGGCTGAGAGGATAAAATTGTAAATATACAAGTAAATATATTAAATGTTCATTAAGTTTTGGGGGACCAAAATCATAAATTTCATGAGAGTTACAAAACTTTGGGAGGGTCATAGCCCCCTCAGCTCCAAGAAGATCCGTCACTAGAGATATGTTCATACTTAAGCTCAAACTATATTATTCAAAAATTGATACGAAAGTATGAAGTTATATTGCATGGATAATTTGAAATATATAGCCAAAAATAAACATTGTTCAAAATAGAAAGAGAGTAAGATATTAGAAAAGATTATTCGTCTACCAACTGACCATCAACTACTTGTTTAAAAATGTTAAAATAGTTTGGTATCAATTCTCGGAATGATCACAATCGTTTCCTCCACAACTTTGTCAAGATCATTCTATAATACCTTCACCAACTACTCCTTGGCCACTCAAAACTTGACCACTTGATTATTGAATGATGCTTGTAACTCGGCCAATTTAGCCTCAATATCTTCAGACTTCTCCCTTGCTTCCTTCACCCTCATCTCAACATCCTTGACCAATTTTTCTCACAAGAGTCTGATTCTCCTTAGCCTTGGTAGGAAGGGTTGCCTCGTGATCAAATAGTGCATTTTAGAGTTGATCCTCTATTTCTTTAAGGATAGTAGGTCACTCTCCATTTGTCCTTTACCTTGGTGCATGTCAACAATGATGTTGTTCCAATAGTGAATTATTAGCATACATCGTCTCATCATCACCTTAGTCAAATCCAAACAATTCATAGGATTAACTATCCTAAACATACCCACATCATAAGGATAGGGAAAACCATTATCCACCTTGATCCTTTATTTAGTCATGTTGATATGTAACATTGAGTCCACCTTGAGATTATTGATGGAGATATGGTCCAACTAGATGAAAGGACTTTCCATTCCATAAAGCACATAGAACAGTGGGTGAGAAGTTGCTTCATATGGAATCCAAAGCTGAGGAAAGGTGGTGGAGTTGGAACAGAAGTAGGACTTCACCCATGATCTTGAATTATTGTTATTATTGTTGCTCTGAATCTTGCGAGGAGTGAGATTTACCAACTTTAATCTTTTTGGAACTTGGTGACTCCCCTCAATAATAGCCCGGACAATAGGGCCTCCATTAACCTTGGTACAAGTTTTTTTTATAATCAAACTTAGGATCCTTAATTTTTGCAAGAGGAAATCATAGATCAGTTAATCAAGAAAAATAAACAAGTATTTTTTTAATAATTAATAAAATTTGCATATATCTTACCTAACAATCAAACTATTGGGTCCACCACAAAAGAAACGGATAACATATCCTTATAATTAATTGGATGTAGAAGGCTTGACAAAATTTTGATATTCTCTTTATCTTGGGGTGATAAAAAATACTCGGCCCAAGATTTGAAATTATGGGGAGCTTGCCAGTGTAAGGGGAAATGAGGCGTATGGTCAGGATTATGAAAAAAAAAATTGTTAAGAAAGGTTATCCAGAGCACACATTTTCTTAAAGAAGCAAGATTTGAAACATTTAAAAGAAAAGAAGAAAACACAGTGAACAAACCATGTTAGGACCCATTTAAGGATATTTAACTAAACATCACACAAAAATTGAAAATTTTTCAGAAAAAAACAATTATTGGGGTGAAGTTCACTCAAAGAAACTTGAAAAGGAAACTTGACGAACACTTGAAAAAAGAGAACTTAAAGCACAAATGGTTTTGGGACATATGTTTTTACCTAATATTAGGCATGAGGTTTTAGAAAGATAATCATGCAAGCACTAATTGTCAAAATCACCATTTGCAAAATCTCTCATTAATGTGTGTCACAATCAATTATAACACTATAAGAAGTCGGAAAGGCCTTTAAAGAAGATCGACAACAATCACAACAGTACCCATCAACAAGTAATTGTTTAGTTAAACACTACAACTCGACAATTACTTAAATTTATTTGTCTACATCATATCGAGACTCTGGACTTAGACAACTTATATACCTACCCATATTTTTTTATTTATTATATTTATTATGTTTTAATAGAAATATTTTTCTAATTAATATCTTTAAATGCATGGTAATAATGCGTAATTAAAATATTTAATTAATAGATATAATTAATTGCTTAAAATATCCTAATAAAAGTCTTATACTGAGCTAAGTATCAAAGTGTTTTTAGTAAGTAAACCACTTATAGTACTCAATATAGTTTGACCACATAGATTTTGAAGTATTCATCACCGACTTTATTTGAGCTCCCTAAATGACCTCTTTTATTATACTTTCTTATTGTAATTTTTCTAGGAAAAACATAGATAAAAAAATAACTAAAAAAAATCTTATTTTTTTTATTTTAAAAAAGAAAAAACAACACATTACGAACTAAGTAAGAAATAATATCAAGAAAAAAAATTCATTACAAGTTAGTAATCTAAGTACGAAAATGGTTAAAAGAAAAAATATCATTTGTAAATTTAAAAAAAAATTAAAAATATTTGTTTATATTAGCATTCAATGAGTTTATTGATTTTTCAATTAATTATTTTTAAATTTATATCTAAATATTATTAGTTTGATAATGAAAATACTTAATATTAAATTAATCTTAAATTGAATCAAAGATTCACAAAGTTTACCTTGAATTCTACATTTTTAATTTCGGAGGGAAAAAAATTAAAAACATGTCCGTACTTTTTGTTTTCTCTTCCATTTTTTATTATCAAATATAAAATAATTTATAAAAAAATATTGTATATTTTATTTATAATATAAAATTATATATTTGATAATATATCGAATCATACCGTTAAATTAATAATAATAACCAATAGATATAATATATATATATATATATATATATATATATATATATATATAAAAAGTGTATGACATTATCAATTACTCAGTCAATTACTCAGTCAATCAAAGAAATTTTATTTTTTTCAAATATATCTTAATAAGTTACATTACAAGAAAAAACAGTTTTAGTGACCCAAAAAGTCGGTCGCAAATGTCAAAAAATCGGTCGCTAATCGGTTAATGATCGAAATACGTCGTTGCAAAAGGCCAAGTCGCTAATATGTTAGCGATCGATTTTTATTTCGGTCGCAAAATAGTGACCGATAAGGTGGTCGCTAAATAATTCGGTCATTTATTTCATAGATACCAAAATAGCGACCGAAATTAATATATTAAATCGACTGCTAAATCGGTAGCAAAGTTAAAAAAATAGCAACCGATTTATATTGGTCGCTAATATATTAATTGAATTATTTAAATAATAATTTAATGTAAAAATAGCGACCAATAATTTCGGTCGCTAAATCGATGATAAAATTAAATTTACGTTTTTTATTTATTTACAACCCTTCTTTATCTAAAAGTTTGAATTATTATCAGATTATTGTCAATGACAAGTACCTTAAAGTTGAAGACTGATACTTCAACCACTAAGCTACTATGATTTTTCAATAATAACTTACAAATAATTTATATTTATATACAAATAAATGTATATACTGTATAAATATATAAATATAAAATCTATAAATACAAATATATTTATATATTTTGATATATTTATATATTGATATATTTATATATTTATATATTTATATATTTATTTGTGAGTCAATAATTTGTTTGAACTCAAATAAAGCGGAAGCTATAATATAATCAGGAAAAGAGAAAGAGATAAGGGAAAGAAAAGAGCACACATAGATTTATATTGGTTCGGGTATAACCAACCCTACATCTAGTTATCAGTCAACTCTTAACACAAGAGTGACTCCCAATTCACTATCTTTCAAATTCAATTTACAAATTACAATCAACTCAGCATAAGAACCAGTAAAAAGTAAACTAATTAAAAAGACAATCACTTCCTTAGAAACTCACTAAGGATGAGCACCTCCCTAGAATCCCACTAGAGATGAACATCTCCTCTGAACAAATCAAAGGATGAAAAACACCTCCTTAGAATCCCATTAAGGATAAACACCTCCCTAGAATCACACTAGGGATGAAAACCTCCTTTGAACAAATCAAAGGATGAAAATACCTCCTTAGAATCTCACTAAGGATGAACACCTCCCTAGAATCACATTAGGGATGAAAAATACCTCCTTTTCCACCAATACAAAAAGGATGAAGGTAATAAAAATAAGAATAGTCACACTTGGGTAATGGAGACAGCAAATTGTAGAAGCCTGTAGAATGTCAATCTCCAAGAACAAGTGTGATTAACAATGAGAGCACAAAAGGCAGTAGAGAAGAGGGTTTTCTCAAAAGGTGTAAAATATCTTTGTTGTCTTGCTCAAAATTCTTTTCTCAAAACTGATTGAATGTAAATTGTATTTTCGAATTCTGTGATTGTGTGTTTTTTATTTTTCATCAAAACTTAATTAAATACAAAAATAACATCAGAAAATGGTCGTTGGACATTAATATTTTTGTGAATAAAAATCAGGATATATTCAACAATATTTATTCTTCAAAACAGATATATTTTTCAAATTTGAATTGTCATAATTGATTATGTTACCAGTATAATCAATTATGACAGAGAAAATCATTTTTCCAGAGAAAATCATTTTTCCATTTGTGATGCATCATAATTGATTATGATAATGAAAAATATCATACTATGAATTTTATCACACTTGTGCTTTGGTGGCTTATGCATAATATTATTTCATCAACTTGTACCTCCATATCCAGTATTCTAAGACTCTATCTAGTCTTCAGGAATCATCTTGGGCTTGCTTGAATCATCATCTTTATCAAAAACATATCTTGGGCATGTAGAAAAATGTTTCACATTGTCACCAACGTCATAAATTCAACTTGTCCTTAATTCATCTTGAATAGTATTGACTTGAATGTAGTTGACTTGAATCATCATCAAAATCATCTCTTGGGAATGTAGGGACATTTCCATCAATCTCTCCCTCATTGCTTTCAATCTCCCCCTTTTTGATGATGATCAAGGAAACACCTGGAATGAATTAAAATGCTTGACTCTATATAGCCAGCTCAAGATTAGCACATATTTGTATCAAGTGTCAGAGTCTCTTAATCTCCCCCTGGATATATTAATAACAAGACTCCCCCTAACTCATATGAGAAAAGATTTCTCTTAACTCATCTTTTTTAATTTAGAGATAGGAATGAATTTCACACAGATTTTAATTCATCAAAAAATCTCCCCATGTTTCATTGATAATCATAAAAAATATTATAAGAGAAAAAAAATCTCCCCCTGTTTCACACAGATTAATATCATCAAAATATCTCCTTGTTTCATTGATAATTATGAAAAATATTGCAATAGAAACTGAGAACAAATTTGTACATATTAGTACATAAATCAAGGTAGAGAAGATAATGCATTCCAAAGTGTCATAGAGAAGAACATCATATTAAGGAGGCAATATCTACGATACCCAAGATAAATGAAGAGAGAGAAAGATGGGGGAATAAAATGATTATAGAGATAATGGAATTAAATGCAATAGTTTCCCCCAATTGCAGTCTTCTTATTTAGGAAGCTTTCAAATTCAAATGCACTCATATTCCAAATTTCAAATTCAAATTGCAAAAAATTTCAAATTCAAATTCCAACAACAAATTCCAAATTTCAAATTCAAATTTCTAATCCCAAATTTCAAATTCAAATTTCAAATTCCAATTCAAATTCAATTTCAAAAATCTCAAACTGCAAAAATTTCAAATTTTAAAATCTCAAACTACAAAATTTCAAATTTCAAAAATCTCAAATTGCAAAATTTCAAATTTCAAAAATCTCATACTGCAATTTTTAAAAAAAATCTCAAACTGCAAAATTTCAAACTTTAATAATTTCAAATTTTCATAAATTCAAACTTTCAAATTTCCAACTTTTAACATAATTGATTAAGACAACAAGAAAAAATTTCTGATTCTGATAATCAATTAGATGCTCAAACTATCATCTAGACATGTATAAATGCTTTGTTCCTTTAGGCACCCATTCATATTTGCCATTAGATATGCCAAAATGTTTTATGTAACATCTATTTGATGTATGACCTAATTTCATGCAATAAAAACATGTTGGTTTTCTTTGAAAAGGTCTAAATGAGTTTCTTAAAGTTTTTAAAACTGGTTTCACATATGTTTTCCTTGACTCTTTCACAAAAATAGTTTTATGAGGTTCTATACTTTCTTTGGGTTTGTAACCAAGTCCAGCTTTGCTAGAATTCCCTCTTTGTTAACCTAATATAGAATCAAGATTTTCAGAAGATTTTGAAAACTTGTTTATTATTTTCTCTAACTTGAAAATCTCATTTTCCAAAAGATTACAATTTTCACAAGGTTTAGCAACTTCTTTATTTTTAGACAAAGTTTTAAATTTCTCAACATCTTTCTTTAAACACTCATTTTCTTTTTCAAGAATACCAACAGTATTTTTTAATGCATTAAACTTTTGCCTAAGTGCATTGTATTTCTTAGATAACTTGGTAAAACCTTCATACATATCTTGATATTCTTTAAACAACTCATCATATTCATTTAAGGATTTTGTACTACTTACCTATGATGAGGCTTCATCATCACTTTTTGTCATCAAGCAAAGATTTGCTTCTTCTTCTCCATCACTGTTTTCGGAAGAACTCTCTTGTGTTGTGGAAAAATCATTATCCTCCCAAGCAATATAAGCTTTGTATTTGCTCTTATAGGTATTGTTCTTATCTTTCTTCTTCTCTTTCACCTCTTTCTTCTCTTTCTTAAGTTCCGGACAATCTGGTTTGATATGACCAGGTTTTCCACA